TCTGCTGTAGAAGCGAGACTTGTCTTCCTTTTGCTCCAACCTTTCTTCGCACGATGCAAGACTCAACTCAGGAAACTACGAAAAGAATGGCTCCCGAGCTGCAAGCAAACACAAGTGTAGACCATGAGCCTTCCATGCCGTGAGCTATGAGTATCAGAGTATCAACACGCAGATGTGCACAGAGCTGAGCTGGCGAGGTGCAGGCCATCGCCAAGGATGATTTCGAAGAGTGCGAGGACTGTTTCTATGGCGAGTGCCATGCTCGGTGATGATCTGTCTCAGAAGAAACACGGCCTGCCAGCTGTGAGGATGCTCTGATGCAGGGAGCGGACGTCAATGCCGACTGCGGTGCAGGCATGTGTGCCCTCCACATGACGGCTCTCAGAGGCACCGGCCAAGGGGTTCCTTTAAGGGTTCTTTCTATTTGGGTACCACAAGGGTTTAGGGATATTTAGGGTCTAAGGGTTCACGGTGCTTGTGTGCTTTCATGCACAGGGGAGATGTTCTTGACGGAGCTTCTGATCGCCCATGGTGCGCAACTTAACCAGCGAGACTTGAGCGGTAACACCCCGCTGCTTTATGCCTGCCACTTCTACCGGCAGCATGGGCGAGGGGTCGAGCCACTTGGAATGCAGTTGGGAGCCTTTCTTCTGACTTTGATTCCCTGAGTTCCGTTTTTTTCAGACTTTCCCATGCGGCACTTTGAGGTTGTGCGCCCAGCTCCTCTTTCACAAGGCAGACCCTCACTACCGGGTGAAAGATGGGAAGCTCGCGGGGAAGAGTGCGCTGGACCTGATGGATGCTCAGCCAGGTCAGGGGACAGGTGGGCATGTTGTTTGCATTGTACAAAGCATGCTGGTTTTATGTTGTCGGCCGCTTGCATTGTAATATCCTCGCCATGTGTTGCCAAGTGTTACCGTGCGTCGCCGTGTGCAGGATCATCATGCATTCACGGTGTGCTTTGTGTATGCGCTTTGTAATACCGCCTAGGAGAAGGCATGCTCGGAGCCGAACACGGACGAGAGTGTGCCGCGGCAAATGCGTGCGATGATCCAGCTTGCACTGGATGGTTCCGAGACCTCCATAGAGGCCATCACGAAAATGCTGCTTGGCTCGGGGGTCAAGACCAGCAGGTTGAGATAGAAGGAGTGTGAAACGGCTTGCGCCGAGGTGGATCTCCGTTAAGTCGGACAAGAAGAACAAGAAGCTTTTCCAAGTCTCCTCGAAGAGGGACAATTTTGAGTATGCGGTGAAGAGTGTGGCTTGGGAGCTGCCTGAGAACGTGAAGAACACTCAGGGGTATGCACCAGTGAAATTAGACGTGCAGGCCGCGAGCCTCATGGAGGAGCGCTTCACAATTCTTCAGGACTACTTGTTCAACGATGAGGGCGAGAAAGTGAAGGTGTACATCACTTTCCCGGAGCCGGCAGTCAGCAGTTTGAGCAAGAAGGAGGCTCCTTGGAAAGTCAGATCGGAGGTTCAGACATAATTTGAGCAATTTGTGGGATGCTTCAGATGCTTATGGCTCTACGAAACGAGGCGCTGGAGGTCAGCTTTGAGTACCAAGCTTTCGACCTCAAGTGGCTCGGCAATTGGCGAGGCTTTGGCAGTGGGCCCGTCTGCTTGCATGTGCTGAGCACAGCACAGCCCAGCAGCAGGTGTTTGTAAGTCCTAGTATGTAGGGTCCTACTCGTAGTATGTAATATGTACTTTTGTACAATTGCTCCTGAACAAGCGTGCGGTGCCAAATGCCATCGATTAGCATGACCCGTTTATTTGGAGCGCATGTGCCTTCGCATCGACATGCTTTCGTACAGAGTACGGCATGAATGTAAAATACCCTAGAGCACATCATACCACATCGACATGCCTTCCAGTCTAGTACTGCAGCAGAATACAAAGTCTCATTCATGGAAACCCTTTGCTGCAATAGGTTATGTATATCACACACACACATACATACAGACATACATGCATACATATATATATATATATATATGTATATATACATATGTCTGCATGTATGTATGCTTGTATGTATGTATGCATGCATGCATGCACGTATGTACTCGTATGTATGTATCTGCATGCATGTATGTTTGATAATATACTAATATATGTACACATGTATGTCAGCCAGTCAGTAAGTAATTCTTTAAACGTTTAATTACGTAATCATGAAATTATGTATGTGCGGTTGTATGTACGTATGTATGCATGCATGTATGTACATGTTTATGCATATAGAGTGGTGGAGAACAAAACCCACAAGCTTAAGCCCCAAGCGTTCCACAGAAAGGGGTGGGGTGATGACCGTTTGGAATCCAAGTTCGCCCCCCCCGCCCGAATCCTACATACATGTGTTGTGTATGCCATCCAGAAACTATCTCTCTGTCTATCTATCCACTGCTTTAGCTGTTTGTCAATATCTATCTCTATCTATCCCTATCCGGCTCTGTCCATCTCTAGCTATTTTCATCTATCCCTATCCATCTTTGCATATTTACGTACCTACTTACCTACCACCTACCGACCTGCCTGCGTGCCTGCCTGCATAGCTAGCTAGCTAGCTAGCTATCTCTCTATCGCTGTATTCATCTATCCGAGCCTGCCTGCCGACCGACTCTCCCCACCTACCTTCCTGCCTGCCTGCCTGCCTGCCTGCCTACCTACCTACCTACCTACCTACCTACCTACCTACCTACCTACCTACCTACCTACACCTACCTACACCTACCTACACCTACCTACACCTACCTACAC